ACTTCTTCTCGTTTGAACAGGGCTGGCCCTGCTGGTGGCGGACCAGGTGGTGGTGCGGGTCCTGACATTCTTTCGGGTCTTGGTGTTTCTGGGGTTTCTTCCGGTAAGGGTGGAGTGATTGGTTCTGGAGTGACGGGACTTGTTGATCTTGCTGCGTTTTGACTTGCTTCACTAAGCGCTTCTTCCAATCCTCCTAATCCTAGACTATCGTCTTGGACGTCTATGTCTCCCTCGTGATCTCTGTTAAAAGGATCCGTGGTGTGTTTGTTAAGTGTCGCGTTGTAGACACGTTCTAATGTTAAGAATCCTACCGGGTAGGACCTAGCGACAGGTAACGATACTTCTCTGTAAGGTGATAGCTCTTCGGCCTATGCCTACGTGAACTCAATAGTCTAGTCCTTTGACTACTATTGTACTCGCGCCTATCTCCTTATTCTTCTCCTTAGTCCTCGCCTAGGACTTCAATCTCTTCTCGTGAGAGGAAAGACACTTCTCGGGTTTCTTAAGATAAATCTTAAAGAGCGTAAAGGTAGGTTTTATTGAAAATAACTTAAAGGTTGGAAATAAACAAGAAGAACGTGTGAAGAGCTCATACTCGGGGTCCTAGTGACCCTTTATATAGTTGGTCTTCACCTGGCGTGACTCATACCTCGCGTCACGCGAACCCTGTGACTCATAATCATGAGTCATATGAAATCCATCAGACGACTCCTATGAGTCGCTGCGCAACATGCCTAAACCAATCAAAACATAATAACCAAGTCAGGTGCGCAACTCGCGTCACCTGAGTAAAACCCATGACTCATAAGTATGAGTCATGTGCGAAAATCATAACATCGTGTGACTCACAACTGTGAGTCACGAACAGGTAAACATAATAACCTATGGCGCACTTAGTGTGTGTCATGTGAAATCCCAACATACCTATAACTCGGAAATCCGAGCTATGTGGAATCTGCCTTGCTTAGTCACAGTTTGTGACAGCGACGCCTCTACATCCAGTACCCAGATATCCTGGATACTAGGGGCGGCCCTAACAGGATACGGGAATGGCTTGCAGAAGTGCTACCTATTGTTTGGGCAACCATTCCGGATTCCTTTTTTGAAAAGCTCTGGCGCTCTATGCCTTCTAGAATTGCAGCTGTTATTGATGCTAAAGGCTGGTATACTAGATACTAGTGTGATAGACTTTTAATTTTTAGTTTTAATATTTAGTTTAGTATTTAACTTTTAATTTTAAATTTTTTAAATTTTATCTAACGGCTTTTTTCGTGATTTCAGGGCAGCCAGAAGGGAGGGGGTAGGAGGCATTACGCGATTCGGAGCAGCACACATTGTCTCATATTGCGCCATCACCAAGACTTTCGTCTAGTGGCTGTACATAACTTATATACAAAATAGTGAAAGTCTATTAAATTGCAGATACAAATAGAAGAGTATATAGAGATAACATATTAGGCAAAAAAAACTCCTATCCCACTCTCAATAACCAGTATACTATCTCTTTGCCACAATAACAGCAACAACCCTACTGGGTATTGAACACTATAGTTTCTTAAAAAATACTGGTGGAATTGTTTTCAAAATCTTGGGAAACACCTGGGCAAGGCCTCACTTCATCTTTTCTGGCAAACTGGGGGGTTCAGGCAATGTCGGGATATTATAGGTGAAGCTGTCATTTTAGTTCTATTCAAACATATTTGATTGTATTTCGATCTAGAGAACATAGTAGATGGTCTTCAATGTTAATACCATTGGCATCAAACTATTCTATAACAGACTATGTAGTATGCACTGTGATAGTACAGTTATCCTGCTGAAAAACTGGAGTCCCAATTATATCATGCATCTGTTCAAGAACTGGAATGACACAGGTTTCAAGTAGCCAAATATAGACCCATTCAAGTTGGTCTATACTTTTAATAATTCAGAGAACAAAAGTACCCTGATTGTATCCATAGTAGTAGTCCCAAACTATAAGTAATACTCTCCTCCCTTTACCTACTGACTGGATTCACTCAAATAACTATTTCAAACATGAATTATGATTCTTTTTGACTAACTTGAAGCACTTATTGCTATATACAACATCTTCGAAATCCTCAACCATCCAATTCCTATATACCTTTGCCCACTCCAGTCTGAGTCACCTTTTAGCATACTCTGGGGTAAGCTTTGCTTACTCCACAGCCAACTATTTCCAGATATTCACCTCATGCAGGATGTGGTCAAGGATATTGATTGAAATATGGGTGGTTTATTGATTGCGCAGTTCTCTCCAGGACCATTCTCAGCTCTTTCTTGTAGCAGGTACTATGACTGGCCTTATTCTACTATCAACCTTTTACAGACATACGGATCCTGGTTTGTTTTCTAAACTGATACATTTGTAGGCTCAAGTTAAAAAATTATATACTGTTGACTAAGGCTAATGTACAAGGTACATAACAACTGGGATCTGCTAAAAAACTCAAAAGAACGCAAGAATCATTACTTTTTTTATATTGCTAAGTTTACAGTATGTCATTTTTATTTTTTTTACTGGTATTTTACTTGGGTAGTTGTGAATAAATTTTTTTTTTGTTAAATCCTAGAATTTATTTACTTATTTAGACATAACCCTCTACTTTAAAGGACAAACCAATCAGATGCTACTATTTGGTAGTACCTGATCAGTCCACCCTCTATTTTAACACTAAGGTATATCAGTCAAAAATCTCCTCTACAGGTCTAGTGAAAAACAAGCCACCTCAAGTTCCTCTGATATGGAACTAACCACACATCCTGCACTAAGAAAACTACAGCCCCATCCCGTACCTGCAAAGTAACAATCCTTGAAGCATCAGTAGGAAGTCACAAGAAAAGCCACACTGTATTCTCTTGAGAAAGGAAACATAAAAGAAATCCCATTTCAACAAAAGAAACTACCTTGAAATAACATATTTCTACAGTTTTCTCCCAGCTCCACCATTGAAAAGTAGGAAGGTTAATATAGGAGAAACTTGATTTGTTCGACAGCATGAAGGAGGTGTCTGACCAGGGTGTGCCAGCCATCTGTTGAAGTTCATTCAAGCCAACTAACAATAGTGAGACCTGAGATAGCGCAATACCAACCTCATAGCCGAGAGCATTAGCTTGTAGTATTAATGTTCTCAACCCAGCAATCAGGCCCACATATAAGACAGAACTTGAAGACTATAGAGGCAGGAAGATTCAAAATCCTAAGGGCTTAATGGTAAGAGTGCTAATCTAAGAGGAAAGTAGGTAGTTTTTAGAGTCTAGTCTAGTAAGGAGATACAAGCCATCAAGAATGAAGGAACATGTTTTATATAATTTAAATAACAGAGGTTGAGTACCCAAGCATTATGAAGCTCCCAAAAAGTTAGGCAAGGGAAAGATCATAAGGGCGTGTATGGTGTTTTGCCCCTTATCCACCTTCCCAATCAGCAAAGTGAAAAGTAGGATCAGGATAATAGTGGAAAGGAAGCTTAACTTGGGTAGCTGTAATAGACTAGTATTATAGTACAACCTATGTTGCTTTTATCTGCATGTGGCTTACTAAGTCAATCACCAAGACTTTTGCCCATGTGCTTTATGTACATTTTTTCTTTTGCCAAGCCATTCCCTGTTACAAATTATTTAGTATGCAGTTAAGATGTCTGAAACCATGGTACAAGAACCTACCAAATAGTCATATTTTAGAAAAATGATACTTCCCCTCATAGGATTGCATGCCAAACAGGACCTCAGTCTTCCAGAACCATATTCAGTAAAACAGATTGTGATAAACGTTTTCAATATCCCTAGAAGTATATCCGAAATCAATCAGGCCTTTTGTATGCCATAGCGTGAGCTGCATGCACGTTTTTGAACCAGAATCAATAAATATATGAATTAAACAAAAACAATATCCGAAATCAATTTTCTAAAAAGCTCCTGCTGTTCTCCTGTCAATAAGTATAGTTCTTGGAGTACTGTGCAAGGAAGGGTATAAGAACTTTACGAACACGGCTGTACAGCGCTCGTGAAGGCACCGCTATCGTTGCCGTTGCAGCCCCGCTTTGGTTTCGGTTTCTGGACTTTCGCTGACAACCCTCTCACCCGTACCGAATTTCACTCACTTTTAGCGATTATTATCCTGATTAGTTCTATGGTCACCCATCAAAGGACTAGTTCACTCACGGAATGTTGACCTAGCCAATCAACAAGCTTGGCCTTCCCCTGGTTGATGATAAACCACCGTTTATATCTTTTGAGTAAGGAGGTGGACCAAAACTATTGCCTGGGAGCAAGTTAAGGGCCTTTTTGGATACGACCGTTCCATTCCGTTTCCCTATATCACACAAACGACTGTTACCTTCCGTTATGAAGATGCTTAGACAACCTTTTCTCCGAGTAAAATCATCACTAAACAGAACGGTCGACTCACCTGCCGTTCCAGCCAAACAGACCCCAATGGATTATAGCGCACCAGTCTGGAAGTGATGGGATGACTTCCTTAGATTTGGATGGTGTGATTGGCCGGGCTGCGCTTGTGGATCTTGCCTCACGGCACCCCCGTATACCGCGGGAAGTGATGGCAGATAGACTTGACCGACGGCTGCGTAACATGACCGATAGTATAGAGGTAAAACATGATGAAGGTAGACCAGATAGGGGGAGAGGGGGCGGCGTCTGTCGGCCCGCCGGTGGTGGTTACCGCTCATATCGAACTGAGAGGGGGGAGTGAGTGCCTATATAGAAAACTCAAGCATGCCAAGACATTCCTAATGCATAAATTCCGGGGCAATAAACCCTACAAAATATTACCACAGGTACCTAATTAAACCTAGCCTTTGTGCCCTAGTACATATGATACTCGAGGGCAATTTTGGTAGTAGAGATAGGTATCATGCATGATAGTACAACTGCATGATTGAACTTTCATAAGTGTAACTTAAACCACTATGACTTTGGCAGTACTATTATTATTGCCTTTTTAGCATAGTGAGTGGGAATCCTAGTAAGGATTAGAGTCCTTATAATACTATAATGTAGTGTCTTACAGGATAAGGTCAAAGAACTTGAAACAACTAGGTATTCTACTTCAATACTGACTAACATTATCATCAGAGTTCAATTCCATTGAGAATTTGTAGCAGATTCTGGAGTGATATATTATTATACAAGAAACTACCTCTTTAAAACTTAGAAAGAAAATGTATCAGATTGTATATAAGGTATTAGGATAAGCTATAGTCTATATACTAGTATTGGAATAGTCTTATTAATAATATACAGGATAGGCTCGGGAAAAGTAGAGATTGAAATAGCTTATAGATGTAATATTAGTTACTGCACTTTTCCTCTTTTATCTTACATATGAGAGGATACTTCCTCTATTATACTTGCTAAGAAGTAGGGTATTTTGTAATTAATACTACTATACTCAAAATATTTTACCTAAATGTAAAAGTTATCTCAAGTATTAATTTTAAATAACTAAGAATAGATATTAGTAATTAAGAAGCATCAACTGGATTTATAGGTTTCTTATATACTAGTAGTAGAAAGCTAAGGCTATGGCAGAAATACAGGTTTGGCAGAACAGGTTTAAGTTACTATTTATAAGATTGAAGACTCGGATAGAATCATCTACTATACCTGGAGTTTTATTCTGATTGCTTAAATCTTAGTTCCTGAAACCTATTTTTAAAACTTTATATCTTTAATATCTGATATTTGTTACTTTTCAGTATTGTTATTATATTATTATACTTTCTTATTTCAAGTTTTGCCTAAGGATTTTGTCAGAGTTTTTTTCTTATTTGTTATAGTGGAGTCTTAGCAAATGAATGTACTCAGCTATCTAAGAATATTAGTTCAACCTAGTACATATTTTTAAACATACAAAAAAAATCATATACAAAACTTCTCTATGGTTTCACAAATCCTAGAAAAGCTCAAGTATAATAGGTAGCTTTAGCAAGCTTGGGCCACCAGTCACTAGAGTAATCAAGTAGAATAACTCCCTAGTTCAAGTCCAATTGTTCTCAAAAGATTTAGCAATACTGCCTACCCATAGTTCTCAGCCAAAATTTGGTTTTTCCATTTGTAGTAGTAAGGATGAGCTACCTGTTACTGACAAATAATAAGATAGTAGTAGGTGTTAGAAATATTGTATGTGAGGTGAGCAATTGAGCTGGAACTTGGAAGATCACAGAGTATGAGAGGAGTATGGATTTGAGAAGATGAATCTGGGAATTGTTTTTGTTTCTCTTGTACACCAATCAATGGTACTAATGAGACTAGTTGCCAGTGCTACTATGCCTGACAAGATACACTTCTGTCACATTAAAGCCATTTTCCCAACAGAAGGCTATCATGGCAAGCGGCAACTGGACAACTTGGAGTATGGCTATTTTTCCAAATTCACTTTCAATAGTAATAGTAATGCCCTGCGGAATTATACTCTGGATAGACTACTATCGCACTACACTACTTTTCGAAGTCCTCGAGCTTGGATATATGAGTACTGGTATGAGTAGAAGTAGTGATGAAGGGATCAGAAACCATCCTTCTCTGGGAGAATATAGCCGACCTGCCCCACCATTACAAATGGGGAAAACCGGAACTTGGCGGGGAAGCGCGAGTGCCGGTATTTGGTTCACCGGTTTTAGGTTCTTCCTTGATAATCGGGAGCCGGATTGGGGAGAGGCCCTAATCCTAATTGGTTCCCTAGCAAAAACCTTTTGTTCTCGGTTTCTTCCCCCAGCACCGTACCGGTACTGGAGTACCGTACCCACTTGCGGCTGTAGTTGCTTTCCTTTCTTTCTTTTTTTCTTAAAGCGAGAGAGACACCCTGAGATCCGGGCTCTACATTCCACTTCAAAAACTTACTCCCCCACCCATTCTTGTCTTCCGAGAAGAATTCAAGAACAAGGGACCTTCTAGGCGGGTTACAATCCCTAGGAGAGGATATCCTCCTCACTCAACTCTTTCCGGAGCCCTTCCTGGCCTAGCGAACCGTGAGACGGACCAGCTAAATCCACCCATTAATCCGTAGTCTAGTTAAGGTTAAACTTAGGCGGCGCTGTAGGGCTGCCCACCGACCCCGCTAAAAGTCTATTTTTGGAGACACACACACACAACGTGGGGTTGACATGGTGGCAGCGCTATGATACCTGCATGGTAGGGGATGGATGGTATGGCTGGCGCGCGGTAGGGGGCTGTGCGGATACGGGCTTTGCCGTCGGGTTGGCGTGACGTTAGGTTTGGAGAAGTTAAATGCGGAAACGACCCAAGTGAGCTGCAGTAAAATGGATTTTTGGGATTCTTCTGGGGCATCTTTGAGGGATTCTGACTGCCTTCTGTGTTGTCGCCGTTTTGGAAGGGATGGGAGAGGGGATGGACATACTGTGTGGATAGCATAACGGTGTATTTGAGTAGGTAGGCTTCGGCCAAAGCATTCGAACACCGGTATGTAGTCGTTCGCTTACGGTTTTGGACTCGTTGGGGGGGTAACTACATTGATGTCGAGTGACTGGTTGTGAATTTACACGGTATAAAGAGGGAAGGGTTGCCTTTGTGTTGCCGGAGCAATTCTCCTGAAGCGCAGAAGTAAGCGCAGGAGGATCGGAGATGTGGTGTTCTATCGCTGCGGATTGGTTCTTTCTCGCAAAACCCCGATATTGATTGTTGCATGTTCCTGGTGGGACAAGGCGGGCTAGAGGGGTTTTGCATGTTTGGCGAAAGTTTCCGTTGTCGGTCGGGAAAAAGAAGTCAGAATACTTGATTACCGTACTTGATGGGAAAAATTCCCAGATCAATCATATTCATAAAGAAGGGTCGATTGGCAGATCGAGTAGAGTAGAAACAGTGCAAGGTCGTCTCCCCCACATCCTAGAATACTTCATAAGTCCATAAAGATCAAGAAAAAAAAAAAAATCAAAAGACAGGAAGATGGAAACCTGAACCAAAGGTGAAACCGGTACAACCGTGTCATGGCTACCCCAGAGCCTATTCTCCTCCATAAAGGAAAATATTTACAGTGAAAGTAAAAGGAAATAAAAAAATTTCAACTTTTTCCCCATCACGAGAGCTTCATAACCTGGAACCACTAGGAATAGTGGAACCCTTACCGGCCCTCTTGAGCCTCCCTACAAGCCTCCTCGCCCGGCTCGCAAACACCCACCGAATTCCCATGCCCCCATAAAGGGCCATCATGAATAGCGTCGTCTCTCCAACACCATTCCTCCCGGCTTTGCCCCCTTCCTCTAACAGCATCTTAACAATATCCTCATGCCCCTGCCTCGCAGCAACAACCAGTGCCGTATCCCCATCAGCCCCATCCACATTGACGCCGTTTTCCAGAAACACTCTCACAACATTCGCGTGTCCCGCCTCCGCTGCGGCCAACAACGCCGTTTGCCCTGTCCAATTCACCATCTCCCCGTTGGCCCCCGTTGATAACAGCACCCCCACGATCTCCACAAACCCCTGTAGTGCGGCCAAGTGCAACGGTGTCTCGCCTCTTCCAACCCGACTGTTCACGTCCGCTCCGTACTCTATCAATTCCCGCACGATCTTCGTGTACCCGTACTTGACAGCCCACGAAAGGGCCGTTTCCCCAGCGATACTACGGAGATTTGGGTCTGCGCCCTCCTGCAGCAACACTCTCGCGACGTTCTCACGGCCGTACTGGACAGCATAGTGGAGAGGTGTTTCCCCATTGATGTCGAAGATATTCGGCTTCGCACCGTGGTCCAGGAGTATGTACAGTGTCAGCGCATCGTCCATTTTGCACACTGCGTGGAGACATGTTGCCCCGGTTTTGTCTTGGTAGTTTATGTTGAACACCTGGGAGTGGTTTCTTGGACAAAGGGCGCGGACGAGACCTGAGGTTGAGAAGTTTGGAAGTATCCAACTAAGTGTCAAGTCCCAGGACCTCGGGGTGTCGTAGAAAAGCTTATCGAGGACCAGAGGGGCTAGAGAGTGGCATAGGAGTCGACAGGTCGCGAGGAGGGTGAACACGGTCTTTGTCGGGAGATAGGTAGAAATCAGTTGGATTAGCTCTGTCGGTAGGCAAAGGAGTGGGGAGCGGGCCACCCGCGTCCGGGTTACTGCCGAACGTTTCATCTTCTTTTGTCTCATTTTTTATCCGCTAAACAGGCCTTATCTCCCTTCCCATTCTCCTCCTCTCGTCTGGAAAAATTAAGACCTGGGATGGTAAGATTGTGCCACTGCGCTCGAATAGTACTCGGAAGGGAGAAGGATCCCAAAGGAACAAAATCGGGGTATTGTCAGTTTATCTAACCTTACCATTGGGGCGCAGCCTCGGGGAGGCTTTCATCACGGGGTGTTCAACCTGAGTCGACCAGCAAGATTCGTACCCTTCTTTTTTTCTCTCTCTCTAATTTTTATGGTGCTAGAATCTCTGGGGGGTGAGCGTGTGAAAACCCCCACAACGGATTTTTTTTTTCTTTTCTCTTTTCCCTCTTCAGTAGCCGTTGGCTCCGTCCTGGCACTCTAACGGTTTAAGATCGGCTCAAGATTTTGGTTTCTCTGCTCAAAATCCAAAATTTTTTTAATTTTTTTTAATTTTTTTTTTGGGGGGGGTCACGCTGCGTACGTACTCACCCTCCGATATTTCCTGCATGGTACCGTATCTTCTTGCTTTTTGTAATGAATAGTGGTACGAGGATTGATGGGAAGAAGAAGCACACACATGCAACCCCCAAAAGTTCTTTTCCACTAATCCCCGTGCCAAAAATAAGGATTGGATCGTCCTGGGGGTTGCCTGATCTTGGAAATCGGGACCGCCAAGTCTGTCAAGGGTTTTTTTTTTGTTTCCACCTGGCAGACTTGGTACCCTTTCTTCCAATAGTTCTTACACTTTTGTGGGGGGAGCGAAGGAGTGCAGGCTAGTTTACGATTGCGACGTGCGGCTGAGTGAGAGGAAGGGTTGACAGAAGGGCACTTTTAGTGGTCGCCGGTGCTTGTTTAGTCCGATAATCGCGACCATACTTATGATTACGAGTGTGTGTGCGAGTACGCGTATTTATAAGGATTTATTGGTTGCCCCATGAAATTGTCTTGGGCTTTACTAATGACAGTTGGAGTCGGTTAAGTAATGGATCATGTGTTATCACTCGACAAATCATGAGGAGGGAAGCCAGTGGGATCCGTAATGTGATTGGGTAGGAAAATGCGACCGATAAAAGGCCACACGTATATTCTATACAGTTGAGTGGCTATAGCTGGCAGCGTCTGGATAACCTAGAATTTGGATTATTTTCTGGACGATAGAAGACCGGTAAGGAGGAAAATCCAAGACCGCTCTCGATTCGAGTCATCTGATTTATGGCTCCCCAGCCTTTCGCAGGGAGTTTGCTTGCTGCCTGTCCTCAACTCCAGATGTTCATTACGGCAGTCCAGGTTGCCGGTGATATAGGAACGATCTGTGGTACAGTACAGGGAAAGTTTTTATTGGCCGTGACAATGCAGTTGTTTGAGGTTCAAGCGATACCGGGTGCAGGGTTTTCCACAGCTATAATTGGCAGCATCTACTCCATTGCCACCGTTTGCAAATACAATCCCCCGTGTGGATGGTAAGTAGGGTGGTGCTATCCGGTGCGTTCCTTCAGCCCAGGGGTTCTCACACCCCCCAACACCGAGTCGAGCCCGACTACCACACCAAATGACTACCGGTACCACCTGTAGGGCAACCCAGGATGGCACCGCCTCCCTCTCCTCAAGAAGGCTAGGAGAACTATTTTGCTGACATCAATTAATCATCGTAATATTATATCAAAGGTATGCCGATCGTATCCAGTTTGGATTGTCCGCTACTACCATTCAAAAGGAAAAATTGTTTCTGCATTATCGGCCGCTCAGACTGCGATAGTGAGGTTTAGTTCCGATGTCTCTTGTAGTGTACCTGGCCCTCCCCCCAGCGCTATCCCTTGTTCCCGCACCTTTTGGCCTACATGTGCTTCTCAGCGGTTTTGGTTTCTCCCTTTGTAGGAGTGGGGCAAGTCAATTATGTTCTCCTAGAGAAGGATAATCTCTGACCTATCAATATCACTACTTCTACTCGTATTGCCTGTATGCAAATGGACAACCTTATATATATCCGAATCCAAGGTCTTCGATAAGTAGCGCAGTGAGATAGTGACCAGAGTACGATCTCGGTGACAAAATTCGTCCCCCCCCCCTTTCACACCAAAAACGAGCACCTTCTGCTTACAAATCTCAGCCTCGTACCTTCGCATTAAAATTCACTAAAGCCTTTACGAGAAGACCCACCCTGATATTCTCATTCATATGGGGCAAGCTCTGTTTGTTTGTGCCCCTGGCTCAATGCCAGAAATAATAATAGCAGATCAAAGGATGCTCCCGGGTTTATCAGTTTCCCATAAAAAGGGTACATTGAAACACGATTTGATCTAAACCTTGAGCTCTCAGCCCCCATAGCGGAGTGGGAGAACTCTCCTAAATTTTACCAAGAAAGTTTAGGGAATTATCTGCGCTGTGGTGTTGGTTTCGTTGGTTGTATATTAAATTTAGGCGAGTTGGGTGTGTTTAAAAACAGCCATTTTTAGTATAGAATAGGGGAGGCATGAATTCGGTCAACAAGATCGTACAATACCGGCAGGACATGTCTATTGAAAGGGAATTCGGAAAGATATAATCATACTCATCATTATTCAGTTGCCCCTTGCCATATACTAGCCACCAACTATCATCCATTCGTCAGTCACTAGTGACTAGCCCTCGCTACTACAAATGAGGAAGCCGGGATTTGGCAGGGGAGCACAAGTAGCACTTGCTTGGACATGGCCCATCACTCGACTCCTTGTACACAGCATACCTGTATTCGGCACATTCACCCGTGGCGCACGGCTTGAAAGTCGATTGCGGTTCCCTGAAGTGATTGCTCTAAGTCATGATACCGACAATATAACGCGTCCTGGTGCCCCTCTAAAGCCAAACCAGTCAGATTAGTGGATCCTCTTTTTCTATTGGCAGAGTCAACGTCACAGATGAATAGCATTAGGATATCACTCTAAATGCGGTTAGCAGATATCAGGCTTCGAATTACCTCATAGTAACCCCAGATTACGCAAGCAAGCAAGCAAAACCCCAAGGGTCACCGGATATACAACTCATGACAAGCGACAAGCTCGTTGCCCAGTGTCGTAGATTATTCCAGGTTATCACATAAAGGGACTAGAATTTCCCACTGTATATTCACTGCTTGGGTTAGTGGAGAAAGGTTTACGTGATTTAAGCTTAATTCATCTGATCTCACTCGATTACCAGAATAACCCAACATCAATTGCATTGGTGTTGTATGAGTTTTGGTGTGGTATAGGGGAATTCGGCACCTCCAACACTAGAGGGGATAATCTTATGAGTGGGCAGGCGCTTAGCGACCTTCAGGTTCTAGCTATACATCTACAATCTATGTCCCTCAAGGCCCTGCCTTTTTCAAAGCTAAGCCTACAATTTTCACCACTGACCTTCGGGCTGTGATTTTTCCGTTGCACGCGAAGAGATTCTGTTGCTTGCTATCGGCAATTGGTTTCCGTAATCTCTGGTGTCTTGGGGACATATCCGCTTCAGTAGCTCACTCATACATATCTCATAATTTAATATCGTTATCTTCAACTTCAGGAAAAAGGGGAGAGGAACATTTACATCCCATCCGACCTCCAGCGGGATAAGAGTTGGCTCTTGCGGCGACATTACATGAAATGCCTCGCTAGGGCAGCATGCAAGATGTCAAGAACCAATCAACCCTTATACAATTTACAGGAGCCTAGGAGTTCGGTTTTCCCCATAATCGTGAGTTATTATTGAACGATCCGGCGCCTGGGCCAGGAGAATTAAGAAAAAAATGAAGAAAAAGACTTGCTTACCCGGTGGGAACTGGGAGACTGAGGATCTTGGTCCTCCTCAACATGCCTGTAGGGCAAGCGAAGGCACTGCTTGGTTAACAACCCCGATTTTGAAAAACACAACCGATCACTCTTCACTTGTATTATTCCTGCGTAACTGGAGATTACGGTCTCCCTCGAGATTTCTCTTCGCAGCGTAGAGCTAAAACTAAAAGGGATCGAGGTGGTTTCCTTGTTAATATGTTATGCCTGATAGTTGCTTGTTTGATACTTATGCCACACTTTCCCGGGCTTAACTAATAACCCCCTGAAAACCAGGTACTAACCTCCTCCCGCAGCCACTTTAAACCGTTCCTAAAGTACCTCCCCAAAAGTGTTGGTGAAATGGGCTTTTTACACCAAAAACATTGATTTTTCACCACTGGTAGTTTAGGAACCACAAAATATTTTACAACC